GGGGGGGGGGGGGGGGGGAGAGAGAGAGAGAGAGAGAGAGAGAGAGAGAGAGAGAGAGAGAGAGAGAGAGAGAGAGAGAGAGAGAGAGAGGTTGCCTCCTGCTGACACACTCTGTTAACTTTTACCTACTTGCTCCTACTTGAATTGGCAAGACCCGAGGCTTGGAAGGACACTGGTATCCCTCTGGCTACGCCAGGATTCGAATCCATGATCTGTTTACTGACGATATAAGTGCGTGGCATTCAGTCGCATGGGCTGGGTACTCTTGTGGTTGGCTTTCAACCTTTACCCTTGGTCTGCTGTCGGTCAATTTTGCGAAAGATTGGTTCCTCGTCATCGGAGGCAGGCCGTGGAGCAGCGCGCATTGCTGGTGTCTAAATGCACTGTTTTGGAATCTGTGAGGGTGGTGGTCTTGTTGAGCCCCTCTTGTCGAACCAGAAGCGTGATGCGGTGCCACGTGGCACAGCACAGCATGCCGCGGCACATTTAAAAATACCACCTCCCTCCGATTGGTTTTTGTTTGCTCGATTTATGGGTGTAATTCTTGCACATGGGCCATGCTAATCTTCTCTCTCTCTCTGTATCGTTCCAATTTTAACGGATGTCTCAGAGGACGAAAGATCGCTCTTTTTAGTGTGCTTTCTCCTTGTTGTACTGTTGGCTTTGTTGACTTCCATGGACTAACCTTTTCCTCACCTACGGGTTCTCTCTCTCTCTCTCTCTCTCTGTCTCTGTCTGCCTGTCTGCCTGTCTGCCTGTCTGCCTGTCCGCCTGTCCACCTGTCTGTCTGCCTCCTCTCTCTCTCTCTGTCTGCCCCACACACATATGTAACCATCCGTTTCATGAAAACATACCTGCCCTACGCTGTTGTCCTCTTCCTCTAAACCCCACTCAATCTCACTGTAGGGGACTTCATCAGTACCAGCTTCTTCTAAAGTAAGGATCATGTGATCCTTGGCCCTGACTTGGCCAGAGATGGTACGCCCTTTCCACTTCTTCCCTTTATCCAAGTCCTTATGCTAGAAAGTGGAAACTGGCATGGACTTTGACTCAAACAGGACCACTTCTCTGCTCAACACATCATAGGTGATGTCGGCCTGTTGAGACCTATCAAAGAAATGCCCATGTAGGGGCTCTGGCATGGCACGATAGAATAACTGGACCAACTGGGGCTCAGTGACCCCATGGTCTAGAACGGCTACTAAGTCGTCCATGACGCCCTTGAGTGCCCTTGCACTCCTCCACTGTCGCGAGTGGATAGTCTGTAGCTTGTCAGAGGCTCTAACGCCTCTCGTTGGGTCAGCAAATCGCTCCGTCAGGCGCTTGAAGAAGTGAGGAAGGGGGGTAACCTTGGAGTATGCAACCAGGTTCTTTTCACAACTGGCTGCGCGCGATAGGGACCTGGCAAAACTAGCCGCTTCATCCTTAAGGGCCAGGAAGGCGACGAGGACTTGCTCCTTTGTCAGGATGTGTTGTAAGTATACGTAACTGTTCACACTAGCCTCCCAGTTATCAAAATTTTGTTCCTTCTTCCCTCCATACGCATCTCGGAATTTAAGCTTAACTGGGTCCTTACGGGGTCTGGCCTCGCTCTCGACGGCAGCTACCGCTTTGGCACCCTCGATGGCGCACTCACAGAACTTCCGCACGTTGTCTCTCAACCGCCTGACTTCTCCTCCAACGTGGGTGACTAGGTCGCGCGCAAAATCCCTGAATCATGACCGCATGGCACTCAGGGCTACCTCTTGAGCCCTATTGGCTTGGCGTTCCTCCATCCAAGCCGCGCTCAACACCTCCACGTACCCCAACACCTTATCCATTTTGGCCGAGGTGTCTGCCTGAGCCTGCACCTCCTGCCTACAATCTTTCACCTTCGCCACCTCTGCGGTCAACCTATTAACTTCATCCCTCCTTCTCTTCTTTTCCCTCTTCATCCTCAATTTCCACTCCAACTTTTTCTCCTCCTCTCTTTCTTGTCTTTCCAGGGGGTCCTCCATTGCTGCTAACTCACTGGCTAACGCATCCCTCTCATCCTGGGGCACATAAAACTCTGCCTCCTCATCTTCCCCCAACGATAAATTAGCAATCCACCCGCTGATATTCTTCTCCATGGCTACCTCCTCATTTGCCGTGCCACTACTCTCTCCTTTTTCTTCCCTCCGTTTTCTCTCCTCCTCTACCTCTGCTGCAGCTTCTTCTTCAGCAGCCTTCTTCTTTTTCTCCATCTCCTCCTCCAATTCCTTCATCTTCACCGCCTGCTCCTCTGCGATTGCCTTCAACTTCGCCTGTTTCAGGAGCTTTTTCCTCTCCTTATTCTCTCTCACTAAGGCGGCCATCTTCTCTTGCTACTCCTGGGTATAAAGGCTAGTACTCAACCCACTCCGGGTGTCAACCATGGTGATAGTGCACAACCGGATTACGGTTCCAAACCTCACCACGTAGACTCTTACCCCTGACTGACAAACCTACTGACTCAATCTAAGGACTCCCAGAATCCTGACAGGGATCCTGCCAACTAGGGTCTCTAGCCTAGACCTACACTATGGCTGTCACTACTAGACTTGTTGATGATCAGGAGGCATTTAAGGAGATCCCCCGTAACTCCTTAGGAATTATTTATCATCGCAGACAGGACGACGCGATCATTAGGTCTCTCAACACTTAGACGGCCTGTTGTGCAGCCCACAGCTTGGATTTTGGGCCTACCGTGCCACACCGAGCAGCCCGCCGGTCAGTACCGGTCCTTGGGAGGGTTAGGCCTCCGGGACAGTCGAGTCGTCAGACACAGTCTTTAGCCCTACTCAGCCCATGCGGGTTTGGTCAACAAGGCCCTATCCTTCATCCACAGAGTTCTATCACCTGGACAGAAGAGACTCAATGCAGAAAGAAGAGACAGACAGACTGGACTCAGCAAGTACCACAGGGTGTGTGCACATCCATAGTG